CAGTATTTTAATGTATAGTTTATTTCTTAACTGGGTAAATCAAATTAACTGTTACTTGAATAATATAACATATTTTTATATTATTATCTACAGTATTGTTTTTATGTGTCATAGGTATATAACAAAGAGGCAATTAAAACATACTAAATGTGAAGTCTGTAAATCCAGTTTACAAGTTGCTAAAGGTAAATCATCTAATCCAGCAGCCGATTTAGTCAATTTGAAAACTAGAGGATTCTTAACTCATGTAAATCAAAATTTGTTTCAAATTATTCAAGTATTGGAAGTATGTTTTCTGAAACATGCTGGCTCAGCGAATCCATTTAATGACACATTTGAAGAATTCTTCAGCACTAAGAATTTAAAATTGTGTTTTCCATGTGTAGATCATAAAACTGAAGTTTTAACTGATATATGTGTAATGTACATTACAATGAGAATGAGGCAGTATAATTTGCTGAAAAACCAAGAGACAAAAAAAATTAATAAAACAAAAAAAAAATTGCTAAATTAGTAGTAACATAAGATGATTATTATTCATAAATTATAAAATAAAACCTTCAAACCTTGAAAAATATACTAATTTTTATAGTTTTTTCTGTTTGACTGAAATATTTAAAATTAAAATTGTATATTTGTGCCTGTACTCTGTATGTAACTGTATTTTGTACCTTGAAATCTTTTTTTTCATATTTAACCGACAATATATTGTAGTCTGTTGTCTTTTAATCATCATAACATATTAACATATAACTTTTAAATTATTTTCCGGACTCCGGAGTATTAGTAATTTGTAATTTATAATTATTACACATTATTATTATAAATTATTACTACAGTATTAAATTATAAATTATAAATCGGAAATATACACTAGATAGCGACAAAGGACACAGTACTTCTGATAAGAACATTTGACGGTCTTCTTATCATGGTTCGTTCGGCAACCAGTATATATTTAATCGTGATTCAAACGAATACGTGTACAATATTCAATTAAAATACAAATTTTATTGTTGAACATTAGTTATGCTATCATAAAATAGTTATAAATCTAATTTAATGTTTTTTTTTTATTTTTTACAATTACTTTTTTACTAAAAAAAATTATTTATCCTATTTTCTAACTGGACTTCCGAAGTTGAATTACAACCTTTGCCGCCTTTACAGCTGGACTCGCCTTTGGAAGTTGAATCCGCCGCTTTGACTGCTTGCCTCGTCTTAACTCCTTGAACCTCCTTTTTTCGACTGCGCCAGTAAGTAACATGCTGGGTACCTCGGTGCCTACTATTGTAGTAATAATAATAGACAAGTGGCTACCACTACGTTAACGTTGCAGGTCGCAGACACTTCTTCAGATGATAATATAGTATAATAATAATTTATTACTATATAACTACATATACCTATTTTAATACTCAAGTAGTTATTTGTCAAATCATCAAATACTAAATAGTATGTTAAAATAAAAACGGCCCATTGAGGGGAGCCAAGACGGTTTGAAGGATTTGTCTTATGATGGGGGGGGGGCGGGGGGCTAAATATAACGATAGGTACATAGGTACGATTATTTTCTATAAGCTTTTAAAAATTAACTAAACCACAGTTAATTTGAAGCTAAACATTTATAATAGTGAATACAATTTTTAAAGAAGTAAGACTAGGTATTTGGCGTTTGCTCAGCTATGGTACGCGCTCTAGTGGTTTTTTTTGTAACTACTCAAACGAGGTAACCATCGACGACAGTCTACAAATAGCAAATTTGACAATTTGTAGAGTAATTATTACGGTGCAGTGTGCACAATATTATATTACAATATTATCTTGATTTCAGATTGTAAATTATATTATTTATATTATAGATTATAGTATTATACTATCACAGACTATATAGTAGACTACCTATTTTAATACGATTTATGAACTGCGTATCGCATCGTTTCGACTTTCGACTTCTTTCAAAAAATCATTAGGTACACAGGTACACTTTGTATTTAATAATCTTTTATTACTTTATTACAAACACTTACTCTTCATGTGTATATGTATATGCGGTGGCGTATATACCCCCCTATATACGCCCCCCAGTTCACCCTATATTCACCCCCAACCATAAAATTAATTCATATATACTCCACTGTGTGTAATATGTACCAAGTATCAATGTATTATTTTTTTTTAATTAATTCAATTTCATGGTATAAGTCTAGTTTACCGGGCACCTTTTTTTTTTTGAAATTTTTTTTTAAAAGGGTTGCCAAACGGTCGCCAAACTCGAGGTCCTCCGCGCGGCATTATAGTAGTGTTGCGCGCACGTGTATAAACGTAAAATCGTTAACTTTGGGAAGCTATAACTTCCAAAATAATCATTTCCGAAATTTTATTTTTGCACCATCGTTCTTAACTCGTCAAAACAACCCTTTTCAAAAAAAAAAAATGTGCCCGGTAAACTAGACTTGTTCCCAATTCATATATGATATATATATCATAAATAATACAACTTTTTATTATCAAATTTTAAAAAAATTGTACAGTAAAATACTTATATAGTAGAAGTAGCGGTACGTTTATTATCCATTATCGATCATATAATATTATAATATATTTATATATAAAATATTTTATAAAATTAATATAATGAGAAACTAATAGTTCGATTTTATAATTTGGTTATTGGATGACAAGTAATAACACAATACATCAACAATAATTATTTTATTATTATTCTAATTTGTCATTATCATTTAGTTTGAAATTACGTATGTTTATTGTTTTATATTATCAATAATCGTACACGATTTTTTGACTACGGATCTATTTTTAACTATTAGAATAACCATACTAGGGCACTATAGATACAGGTAGGTATGATACGCCGCCATTTTGCGACTAATAATCTTATGTGAATATGAATTTCTCCATAGATAATATAAGATAATATTCTTATATTATCTATGAATTTCTCCCCCTTTATTTTATCATTTGATCATTGATAAAAGAGTCGCAAAATGGTGGCATAGCATACCCATGGTATGTAGAGCCTTAACCATACACGGCACACCGCGACCGATTCAGTGTACGTGTATGTATATACGATAAAGCAGTGGTTTATAATATATTTTTGAACTTAGTAGGTATAAATTAGAAGCGTGCGTATACCCATAAAAGACTAATTTTCTTAAAGGTATACGCATAAATCCAAAATAGGGATCCGGGTATACGACGTATCCCGCGTATACCCTCCAATACACCACTGCATATTATTATAGGTAGTGATATTTGATTTACGATTTAGTTCATACAATACGTTACAAAATGGAAGTTGGTGCAACATTTACTCCCCGTAAAAACAATTCTAACCGATTTTGTTGGGTTTATGGTAGTACTATGGTAGTTTATGGCCAGTACTTCACTGGCTAGGAGAAATCCAGAAATTAAATTTGCTACATTTCCTAAAATTACTGATGCTGTAAGAAGAAAAAAATGGATCAATGTTCTGAAAATGGGAAAAAAAGTTACAGATTCTATGTCTGTTTGTTCTTTACACTTCAAACGAGATGATTATATAAATGCAGGTATATTAAAATTAATTTATAATTTACATTATCTATATATATAAAAATGAATGTATGTCTGTGTGTCTGTGTGTCCATGTTACCATGGTTACCAAGGTTGCCATGGTTACTAAGGTTACCAAGATTTCATATCAATCTATATATATAAAAATGAATGTATGTCAGTGGGTGTGTGTGTGTGTGTGTGTGTCCATATTACCATGGCAACCATAAAAAACAGTAAGCTGATTGACTGCTATCAACGCACAGCTCAAACCATTAGACGGATCTGGCTGAAATTTGGCATACAGATAGCTATTATAATATAGACGTGCGCTAAGAAAGGATTTGCCAAAATTCGCATTTTAAATAGGTGCTGAAACAGGGACATTGAGATTCACGATAGAAATTGGAAATTTTATTTTTATTTATTTATAGTTGCCATTGGTTACAGTCTACATTAGAAATTGCATCAAATCGAATTATTGAACAATGCTTACCAGGGTGGCAGAGTTGCACTTACCGCAGAAAATTACACCCAAAAGGAGTTCAACAATCATAATTTTTTAAGAGTTGCGATTTTTTACGAGCAACCAAATTTATTATATTAATCCACAGTATTACATCAAAATAAACTTGGTATAACTTTGATACTTTAGAGTTAAATCATACACTTCCGTACAAACAGCACGGGGTCCGCGATCTACCGCAGGTAGATTGCCTACCTGATAATGTACTGCTGCGATTCAGAATTTTTATTCAGGCAACGGGAAAGATAAGATAAATTTTGAACACCATACACCGAATATTGAATAATGAATTGAACAAAGTTTGAGTAGGTAGTATTGAGTTGATCCATTTAACGGGCGACGAAGTGCACGGGATCAGCTAGTATATAGATAAAATATTTAGTAAACCTATGATGTACCAACATTTATTTAGATAAATCTTCTAAGAAACATTGCTTAAAGAAAACTGCTGTACCATCATGCAATTTACCTAAATGTAAGCAATTCAAATCCACTGATGAATTATCACTAGTTGCAAGATCTGAACGATCACAAAAAAGAAACATAATTACTTCTGCGAAATGTCATTTAAGTTTTGAAAAACAAGAATTTAATAACGATACAAGTAGGTAACAATACAAATAATAATATTATTTTGGATAATAACTCTGTTATCGACCAATGTACTTCAATAGCCAATACTAATTTATTAAAGGATGTTCAAGTGCAAGTAACTAGTGGTGACCTATCATTTCCATTTACAGTATTAATTGATACTGATCAGAAATTAAATACTTTAACAGGGTTACATTAATTTGTACTTCTTGATTCCATAATAGAATCATTAAATTTATTAGAACCCATACCATTTAATTCTAATAAAATATTTTCTTTAAGAGATTGTGTAATAATGACTTTTATAAAACTAAAGCAGAATATGTCATATTCTGTAATAGCTGTTCTATTTAAATGTAATAACACACATTGCAAGAATATAATATCAGCAGCAATAGATGTTTTATATGTAGTATTGAAACCAATGATTCCTTGGCCATCAAAAAATGAAATTCTTTGTAACATGCCCAAATGTTTTAATAATTTTAAAAGTACAAGAATTGTTATTGATTGCATTGATATTCCAATTATGAAACCCAAAACTTTATCAGCTTCAATAATTACTTACTCACACTATAAATCAACTTATACTGCCAAGTTTATGACCGGTGTCACACCTGCCGGAATACTTTCATTTGTTAGCCAAGGATATGGTGGACGTGTCTCAGATAAATTTATTTTTGAAAATAGTCTACTTATTAATCTGCTGGAAGAAGATGATGCAATTATGGCTGACAAAGGATTCCTCATTGACTCAGTATGTGCAGAAAAACATGTAAAACTATTTAGACCAACTTTTTTAAAAGGAAAACGTCAATTTAGTTCAAAAAAAGCTCTTCTGAATAACAGTATTGCCAGTGCACGGGTACATATCGAAAGAGTTAATCAACGTATTAAAATATTCAGTATATTAAATAAATTTCCTTCAAGCTTAACTTCTAAATTAGATGAAATATTTTTTATTATTTGTGCAATCGTTAACTTAAGTGTTCCAATTCTTGCAATTGATAAGTTTTTAAAATGTAATTAAACTAAATTAGGTACTTTAAGTTATATAAATCAAAATTTTACTAAAAAAACTTTGTTTTTTCAAAATTAAAAGGAGAAAAAGTTGAAAATTACATTGATTATAAAAGAAAAAGAAACCTTTTTAATTATTTCTTTTCAAAGTTATACATAGTTTATAATTCTTTATTTTTACTTAAGCATATTGTATGTAACATATGTTCAAAGAAGTGATGTTTTAATTTAGTTAACATTTTATGTATGAATTCTTCATTTTTTTGTATGTTTATAATATACATGCCATTATCATATGATGAGTATATACAAAAATCTGTACTTGCAAGATTATTCACAAACATACCAAGTTGAACTTGTCCATAGTAAACATGTCTAGTTTTAAGTGTATAGACATCATTTTCTTTCACCAAATACTTGCAGTTCTGTATAACATATTTTATACCTTCAGTCTTCCCATTGTATGGACATTTAATTTCAAGTAACTTTGTATGCATCCCAGGCTGAAATATAATTCCATCTGCTGAATAACCTAACCAAGGATTATCCTGACAAACTAATAAACCTGGTTCAAATATGGTACAATCTGGGTTGACATATTTGTATAACAATTTAGCTAGTGGTTCCATTTCTCTACCATGCTTGACAAACTTTTTTGTTAATGAATTACCAATAAAATATTTCAGGGAATTAGTTATCCAGTTTGGATTTTTGTTTGATGTATATGTATATAACGAATAACACCTTGAACCTGTTATCCTATATTTCCTTTCAATATCCCACAGTCTTTTAGAAGTACTAGTTTTATAACAGATTTCCCAAACGTTGATCAAACTTAAATTATCGTACTCTTTAGTACAACACTCTCTCATAGGACCAAATACATAATTAATATTTAAATTATTTTTGCGTCCAATGATTTAAAATATTTTTCAAAATCTGCATTCACATTACTTAATTGTGTTTGTTCATTATTTTGTAATAATTTAAATGAAAATTATTAGATTTTGTGTGTTAGTGAACATTAGGTATATATGAATACAGAATCGGATAGTTCAGATATTGAAACTAGTTCTACGGACAGTTCAGTAAAAGTTAAAAAATTTAAAAATAAGGAAGAAATAAAGGCGGAAATTTTAAAAGACGCTATAAAGAAAGAATTTATAGAAAAAACAGGCAAACAAATAGCTAATGCTGATAAAGCTGTTAGGAAAGATCTAGTAAGAACACTTAGTTTAACAGAACAGATAGGTACCACGCCACGAGAAAGTAAACAAGGCGTAGGTCGTTCAGGTACTAGGTCAGACTCAAGCGTAGATCACGTGCGATTAGAAGTTAGGAAAAACACAAAAAATAAAATGGATATTGATAAAGCAATACCAATGATACCAGTTTGCACGGGAAAGAAAGACGTAGCAGAATTTATAAATATTATAGATATTGCTGACGCAGATAGACCTTTATTATTAAAAATAATAACGTCAAAGTTGACAGGGAACGCGTTAGAGGTAACAAAATATAGAAATTTAGACTCATGGGCATCAATAAAATCCATATTAGAGGGGGCATTCGAACAAAAAGTATCGGAGAGGGCCCTAGCAGTAGCTACGGCACGTATGACCGAAGGAGAAAGTGTAGCAAAATTCGCTAGTAGAATCGAAGAGTTATATTATAAACTATGCGTGGCTAGTAGGTACATTGAGATTAAAACAGACCGAAGCACTTGTAGTTAAAAACCAGACAAAAAAGCAGGCTATGATTATATTTATGACAGGATTACCACATCATCTGTACACAGTACTAAAAAGTAGGAATCCAGAAACTTTAGAACAATGCTTTAAACTAGCGATAGATGAAGATCTTGAATTTAATTCTAAATTAGACATGGAAAAGTTGCAGGGAAATGTACAAAAACAGAATAGTAATGAAAAACAAATTAATGGTAATAACGAAGAAAAACGAAATAATGATAGTAATAGAAATAATATGTTTAATCGCGGAGGAAACGGATACGCAAATCAAAGTAGTAGAAATAATAATTTTAATGGATATAACAATAGATATAGCAATAATAATCGCGGCGGTTATAGTGAAGGCCCGAATAATCGCAGCGGAAGTTTTCGCGGCGGACATGGGTATGGACGTAATTTTAACGATAATAATTTTCAACGAAATAATACTAATCAGATTAGAACCGGATGTTACACATGCGGGAAATCTATTCATTTGGCAAATGATTGCTGGCAGACAGTAGGAAGGCCAAATACACGGCAAAATACGTAATAGTAATAATCGCGGCAACGGCGCGCGTAATATTGGTAATAGTAATAATCGTGCAGGCAATAATAGGGCACAAAATGTACATTGCAGTTTTTGTAATAAGGTAGGACATGAAATTGCGAACTGTTTTACTAAACAGAAAAATGAGAAAAATAATTCGTAAAAATACAGGGGACAACTTCAGGTGGGTGTGAGGTTGGTCCAAGAAATAGTACAAGACCCACAAAATGAATTTTCCACATCACAACTCGATTAGTAGATAATCATATTACGTTAAAATCGCCAAGTTTCAATGAAGATCAAATGAAATTGTTAGTTGACACGGGCGCGGATTTGGACATTATCAAAATTAATGCTTTAAAGGGAGATACTGAAATCAATGAAAAAGAAAAAAATTATTTAAAGGGAATCAATGAAAGGATATTAAATAGATTTAATTATAGATAATATAGCATTTGGAACAGAATTTTATGTAGTTAGTAACATTTTTCCGATATCCGGCGATGGAATAATAGGCAATAAATTTTTAATAGATAACCACGCAATAATAAATGTTGCGAATAATACAATTACGATAAATGAAAGCAAAATAGAGAACGATAATAATATTTGTTTTACATTGCAAACACGTTCAGAAACAGTAGTGCAAATCGATATAGCAGATAAGGCAATGAATAATAAAAATATATTAATTAATAAACAAGAATTATTACCAAATGTATATTGCGCGAATATTTATAATAAAGTTAAAAACGGAAAAATAACGATAAGCGTGTTAAATATATCTGAAACGACGCAGGATGTAAATGTAGGTCAAGTACGTAAAATATCATACGAGAATGATATAGTAACACACGGCGATTACACACACATTCATACGCGTGATATAGAACGGAAACAAAAAGTGAGGGCGTACAGATACGTACAGATCACCTTCAAGTTCATGAGCGTAAATCAATAACAAAAATCTGCGAGGATTATTCCGATATTTTTTATTTAGAGGGTGATAGGCTTACGTGTACGACAGCGGCCGAACATGTAATAAAAGTTCCGAAAGATTTGAAACCAATTTATAAAAAACCGTACCGTTTACCATTTTCGCAACAACCAGAAATAGAAAAACAAATAGATCAAATGATGAAAGACGAAATTATTGAAAGATCAATGAGTCCGTTTAATGCACCACTAATTCTAGTTAAAAAGAAAGAGGATGCATCGGGAAAACAAAAATTCAGAATAGTTATAGATTTTAGAGCACTTAATGACGTAACATTAAACGAATTTCACCCGTTACCAAATATAACGGACATTTTGGATCAATTAGGTCAATGCCAATTATTTACATTATTAGATTTAAAGGCGGGATATTGGCAAGTAAGTTTAGCAAAAGATTCAAAGGAACTTACAGCATTTTTCACGGGGCAAGGTCATTACCAATTTAAACGATTAGTTATGGGGCTAAGTTCAACTACGGCGACATTTCAGAAAATGATGACAAATGTATTATCAGGTCTAATAGGAATAAAGTGTCTGGTATACTTGGATGATATAATAGTTTACGCGAAAAACTTACAAGACCATAATGAAAAGTTAATTAATGTATTTGAACGGTTACGTATACATAATCTAAAAATAGAACCGGATACATGTAGTTTTTTACAACGGGAATGTTTATTCTTGGGGCATATAATTTCCGACGAAGGAATAAAACCCGACAAAAAGAATGTTGAGGCTGTAATGAATTTTCCGGTACCTAAAAATGTTAAGCAAATAAAAAGTTTTTTAGGACTCAGTGGGTATTATAGGAATTCATAGAAAATTATAGTGCTATTGCTAATCCAATAGTAAAATTATTAAGAAAGGACGTAAAATTCAATTGGGATGAAAGTTGTCAAGCAGCTTTTGATAAATTAAAAGAAATACTTTGTTCAGAACCAATTTTGCAATATCCAGATTTCACGAAACAATTTATACTTACAACAGACGCTAGCGGAAAAGCGCTAGGTGCAATATTATCTCAGGGTAAAGTAGGATCTGAATATCTGATTTATCAATAGCTTACAGTTCTAGAACTTTAAACAGGGCAGAATGTAATTATTCAACAACAGAACTAGAATGTTTAGCGATTATATTCGGCGTAAAAACATTTCGACCGTATTTGTATGGTAGGAAATTTACAATACTTACAGACTATAGACCGTTGTCATGGTTATTTAATTTAAAAGATCCTTTATCTAGATTAGCAAGATGGCGTATCGAATTGGAACAATATAATCATGAAATAGTTTACAAAATGGGTAAATTAAACACAAATGTTGATTCCTCCTTTTTTTCATATTTATCTCCCTTGTATTTATTATTTGCTTTTGAATATCTTTGACTACATTGAGATAAGCCACCTCTGATTCCAGATTCAAACATCAAAATTTGATCTATATCTGTTAATAAATCTAATTTTACTTTTGTCATTCTTAACATGGAATCCCACGCAAATCCTGGTGTTGTGTATACCACATAGGATCTAATTTATAATTTTTTAAAGAAATATCTCTAAAATTTTCTATTATATCTGTTAACATTAAAACATCAATCAAATTATATAAACTAGTGAATTCACGCATATTTTGTACCTATTTTAAATACTTTCCAAATTTATTGTGAGTTTTTATATTCCTCTATAGTTATATTTTTATCAGTGAGAGAACTATACAATTTTTCAATAGGAGGTAAACATGTTTCATTAAATTTTTCTTCACAATCCATATACTCGTAGGGATATGCTAACTTTCTAGTAACTAAATCTAAATGTTTTTCATCAAAATATTTACTAAGTTCTTTAAATTTATTTTTTAAATTTAATTTTGTAGTAAGGAGAAAATAAGCTGGGAACCATGTAGTTGTAAGGGGAGAGATATGTGTGTTATAATAAATATTGGAGATTTCCGCTTATGGTCTCCCTACTACTGTGTTGTACCTAAATGTCTAATGATATTTGAATCACCTACTTTTATTATTTATTTATTTATCAATTTAACGGGCGAGCCCAATTACAATAGTATGTGGAACATAAAATAGTATGTACATAATGGTAGTTGTTGAATATAAATAGTATAAAATATATATATAATGGTTGGTGTAGAGGTATAAAAATATTTTAAGTGAATAAATTTCTAAGATATAAATTAAATGAACTCACAGAATAACAAATAAAAAGATCGACATTAAAATTATTTACATGTTGCATACATCTAATTAAAGGGGCGTTCTTACCATATAAAGTGCGCTGGAATGGCATATAAAAGGTGTCTCTCTGTCTAGTTGAATGACCAGGAACTAGAAATGATATATTTGACAAAAGATCAGGACAGTAAATATATCTATTTAATAGTTTAAATATAAAGCTAATATCGTTTTTAATCCTTCTGTTTTGAAGAGTATCAATGTTTAGATATAGTAACAATGGTTCATACGAAGTGTGAGGTAAACGTTTAATATTACACTTGATGGATATATTATATAAATATTCAAACACTTACCTCACTGCAGCTAGTTTTCTTTTAAGTGTTTGTAGTCCTTCGGGGTCGTATTCAAC